ATCAAAGCCTGGGATCAAACATCTAATGCGCCTCGCGCTTGGCCGGAATTGTTCGCTAGCAAATTGTGGGCGGCGCGGTTGACGCGGACATCAATGCACCGTTGGCGTAGTGTCAAACCATGCAGACTAGTAGCTTCCGGAAATCGCCAACTTAACTGGAATGACTATTGTGGGGCGCGTTGCTTGCCAGCAGCTTCCCACCCCACCTCTTGTCATTTGGTCCCATCATCTATCGGGCGCATTTTCGCCACGCAGGCGCTAGCACAGTCTCCGATACATGCCGCTTCTGATGGGCGGTGTGGGCTCATTCATGAGAGTGTCCATGCTCAGGCATGGACAGCTCGGGCTATTTCGACTTCATCGGCCAGGTGCGGGGTCCCGAGGCCGGTGAAGAGGCCCTGCGACGCGGCGAGGCCAATTTCGTCATCGTCATTCCCGACGAATTTGCCCGCGATGTGGTGCGCGGCCTGCGCCCGACGGTGCTGGTTGCCGCTTCATCCTTTCGACCCGTCAGCGGCGGGCGGGGCCGCTGCAGCGATGAGCGGCATCGTCAGCACCGCCATTTCCCAAACCCTGGCCGGGTCACTGGCGGCCATGGCGGGGTCCGCCTCTCCCTTCGAGATCGCACTGCATCGCGAATACACCCCCGGGGGTCGCACCTCGACCAACATCGTGCCGGAGCTGCTGGCAATCATCCTGTCGATGACCATCGTGATGATTACCGCCGTGGCCATCGTCAAGGAGCGCGAGCGCGGAATCATGGAAATGCTCATCTTCACCCCCGTGCGTCCTGCCGAGGTGATGCTGGGCAAGATATTGCCCTATGTACTGGTGGGCTATGTGCAGACCGCCGTGTTCATGCCGACCGCCTTTGCCGTCTTCAACGTGCCATTCACTGGCAGCTTCCTGGCCTTTTTCTATGGGTTCAACCTATTCGTGCTGGGCAATCTGGCACTGGGCTTTCTGATCTCGACGCTGGCAAGCAACCAGATGCAAGCCATGCAGCTGAGCTTTTCACTATCCTACCCTCGATCCTGCTTTCTGGCTTCATGTTTCCCTTTGCCGGCACGCCCGGCTGAGCGCAGGCGATCGGCACCGCAGTCTCGGCCACGCACTTCATCCAGCTGATCCGCAAGGTGATGCTCAAGGGTGCCGACACACCGGACGTGTCACCGGAACTGGCGGCGCTGGGGGTGATCGTCCTGGTGATTAGCCTCATGGCCATGCTGCGCTACCGGCAGACGCTGGACTGAGCGGGAAGCGAAGTCCTCACCGTTTCAGTTCGCCAAGGACAAAGGGCAAGACTGCGCAGAGCGTCGCCGAGCTGGAATGCGGTAACGGCGACATTGACCACAGTCTGAAAATGCATTCTTCCCGCGCCGAAGAGCGTTCTTACCTCATTCCCAGACTGCCGCTTCTGGAATCTTTCGCTTAGGCTGGCCGCTGTCAGGCATTAACTTCGGCTCGGCGACGCCGTAATGGGGCGCGTTGCTGCCGTTGCAGCTATCTTACTTCAGAGTTTAGGGGCGTTTCCCGTAGCATGATGGCGCGCCGGTCAGAATAGATCTGAGAACACTTACTGCATTGAAATTAAACGATAGTTTTTTACGCATAACGCAATCAGATGGCAGAGATGGGGGCGAGAGCGGCAGCCTTCCTTCCTCCTCTCCTTTTTCGGTCGGCCCAATTCGCAGCATTAGGGCCGCCGTTCTCAAGATGCTACGGTGAAGCTAGCTTTGGAAAAATCAAGCGGGTTAACAGCCTTGGTTTCCTGCCTCGTTCCCGATGAATCGTGCACGAATTCGCGCAGACAGCTCGTCGATTGCGCCCACGACCAGGATCAAGGCGATTATGATGAAGGATACTTCCTGCCAATCGTTTACGCCAATCCGGTCGACGAGCCAGAAGCCGATGCCTCAGCCACCAACGGCGCCCAGAATGGTCGCGGAGCGGGTGTTGTTTTCGAGGAAATAGAGGTTGTGCGATAGCATGATCGGCAATAGTTGCGGCCTGTAACCATAGCGCACCAGCGTGATGCCGCCGACGCCGGTTGCCCGAACAGATTCCACTTCGGGTTCGGAGATGTTCTCGATGGCTTCGGACAACAGCTTGCCGAGCGAAGCGATGTTGTTGATTTCTGCTGAGAAGTGACCC